TGGCCCCGCCCCCAGCGTGCTCGCATCACTTCCGGGTGACGTGCACGTCACGTGCTTTGGGGGTGGGGTTCCCCCGGGGCCCGATCCGCTGGCGGCAGGGAACGGGCTTCTGGGGCGGGGGGTTCCCAACCTCAGGGGGGACTTGGCAAGCCTAAGTCAAACCCCTGGAAAATGCAGGAAATTCACAAATACCTCCCCCCCACACATGCCTCCGGTGACCCCTGCTCCATGCCCAGAAGATGAAGCCAAGAACCTGTGACTTGACTTGCATCACACACAGCTTATATTTTGGCCCTTAAACTCAGGGGCCCACAACTTCTAGCTGATCAGGATTAATGGTGGTTGCCACAGTCACCCTAGACCTTCCCTGAATCCTCTGGCATGCAGAAGAAGAGAAAGAGAATCTCATCTCTGGCTTCGTATTCTACCAAGGAGATTCTGAGTGGCTCCAAAGCACAGTATGAAGTCAGAGAGAGAAGGAAGGCGGATGCTTAGCAACCAGCTACTCAAGAGCTAAGTCATTAAAAGCACCGGCACAGAGTGGGAGGATGTCTAGCTTCACGGAAGGATGGAAGCCCTTCAGTTTCCTTTCCTCATCTTCCTTTCTCTGGGCCTGGCACCTTCCATTCCCGTACAGTGCTCCTCAGTTGGCCCCATGAGGCAGAGAAGGCGGGATGAAGTAGCTCAGACAGGCTCACAAGAACTAGGCCGAATTACCTCAGCCATTAGCCATCTCAGGAGTAAAGGAATTCAAGCCTTAAGAGGGCTGCCAACTCTGGCTTGGGGAATTCCTCAATATTTGGGAGTGGTTCCTGATGAGGTCGGGGTTTGAGGGAGTGCAGGGACCTCAAGGGGGGGTATAATGCCATAGAGTCCACCTTCCAAAGCTGTCATTTTCTCCAGGGAAACTGATCTTTGTGATCTGGCGATCTATGGATGCCAGCCTCCAGGTGGGACTCAGGGATCCCATGGAATTACAGTTCATCTCCAGACTACAGAGATCAGTTCCCCTGGAGAAAATGGATGCTTTGGAGGACTCTATGGCATTGTACCTCACTGAGGTCCCTGTCTTCCTGAGGTTCCATCTCCAAATCTCCAGGAATTTCCCAACCTGGCAACCCTACCCCCCATCCCCCACTGGTGGCCAAGGGGGACCTGGCAACCCTATGGAGATCAATTGTAATTCTGGGAGAACTTCAGTTTGGCAAACCTACACAATTGCCTTGCTCACTTCTAAGAAAATGGATCAGATGCTACACTGGGGAACAGTGTTCAGAAAAGCCATGACAGAAAGCCACACTAGCTTTCAAGTATCACTGCCTTAGTCAGAGACAGTTCCAGGGGGGCCCTTCATGCGCACTCACCCACATTTCTCACTACCTGTCTGTCCATCTCTCCTATTCCCTTTCCACCCGATATCCATAACCTGATAAACACCAACGAGAGGCCCGCAGGATTTGACTTGCCACGTAAAGTGTGGGAAATGGCTAACAGAATATGAACAGGCTTTGGCAGCTGTGCAGACCTGTTGTTTAAATGGGGCAAAAGACCAGGACCTGAATGCGATTGTGGTGCAGCCTGCCAAATTATTTTCCATCCGTCTCAGGAATGTGAGCATCGTACTTTCCAAGGAGATGTGATGGAGCTCATTGAACACTTCCCAGCTGCGACTGAGTGGATTGAAAATTTAGATATTAGTATTTAGGGGGACTGCCCAGTCGGTCTGCGTACCCATTGTATCAACTTGGTCACATATTATTATATGCTCCCTTATATGTAACGCTAGAATCATAGAGTTGGAAGGGACCTCCAGGGCCATGTAGTCCAACCCCCTGCACAATGCAGGAAATTCACAAATACTCCCCCCACACACACACACACACAGTGACCCCTGTCCCATGGCCAGAAGATGACATAAAACCTCCAGGATCCCCAGGCAAACTGGCCTGGAGAAAAATTGCTTCCTGACCCCAAAGTGGCGATCGGCGTGTCCCTGGGTGTATTAAGAAAGGGCCACGAGAACTAACCCACTGATGCAACTCTGCCGTATGATAAATAATAAATAAATAATCCTATTCCCTGCTCACAAGCCCTACCACTGCCCATGCTCACAGCCATCTTCACTTTCCCTGATGGCACCGGGCATTGTGTGCAGCTGGGGGCATGGGTGGCCAGACACTCACAAGTGAGCAGGCAGGGAAATGGCCTGTTGGGGGGGTCAGCAGCAGCGGGCCCCACCAGAAGTCCCAGAACCCAGCCACCGCCCCACCTGAGAGTATGTTGACGCTGGCCCTGGCCTTGGTCTTTGTGCAATCCTGGCGGTTTGTTAGCAGAGGGAACTCGTGGTCTGCCATCTGCCGTGCTTGTGCATCACCAACAGAACTGGTTCAAAGATGGTACCGCAGCAACCAACAGGGCATGCATCAATTGACAAAAGAGCCTTCCACCTGGCCCTAGGAAGTCTCAAACCACCTGGCTCACCTTGGAATCGCCAAGGAAGCGGGTCAGGCAAATGTACACGTCCTCCTTGACTTTGAAATGCTTAACGGCGTAGACGTCGTCCATGTCCGGGATGTCGGTGCGGGGCGTGAACTTTTGCTTGTTCCACTGGTAGATGACAGGGCGCTGGGAGCTGCTGGCCAGGATGAGGTGAGGCTTGCCAGCAATTTCCAAAAACTCGGCATCCGTGTCACGGTACCAGTCGTGCAGCGACTGGTGGGTGTAGAAGCCGTGACCGTTCCAGCGGTACAGGGTGGTGGAGCCGGCCTTGGAGCTGTCGGCCATGATGAAGTACCAGTCGCCCTCCAAGCGGAAGACCTCGATGTCGTTGGGCTTGCGGATGCGTGACCCCTCGATGGCCTGCATGTGGAGGAAGCGTCCCGTGGCCTCGTCCCGCTTGTAGATGTGGGAGCCTCCAAAAAGCTGAGCCACGACCACAAAGAGCTGGCCGTCGATGACTAGGGGCTTGCAGACTACAGTGGATGAGCCTAGGAGAAAGGAGCAGCGACAAGAAGGGTCAAGGACTGGTCGCTTTATTCTGGACCGAGATAGTGAAACTTTTAAAATTAGCAAGAGGTGATGAGGTTTGCATGCTCCCAGAGACCGTATTATTGAATCTTTGGAATGACTCTACTTTATGCTCCCCAAACAGAAATCTAATTGGTGTTTTATTAGAACAAATGTAGAGTCCAGTGGCACCTTTAAGACAGACAAAGGTTTATTCAAGGCATGAGCTTTCGTGTGTGTGCACACTTTGTCAAATACATTGGAAAGGAAGCTGGATTTCAGACTTATAGATACAGGCTGAACAGCGAATTGACATGTAACATGACGGAGGTGGTTTAAGATATTCAAAGTGAAACTAAATAACAAGCGAAGGTTATAAGGTCAACAGTTGTTTTGATTTAATTAAGAGGGGGAAAGGAGAGACAAATGGAGAGGCCAGTGGCACCTTTAAGACAGACAACGGTTTATTCAAGGCATGAGCTTTCCTGTGTGTGAACACTTTGTCAATACATTGGAAAGGAAGCTGGATTTCAGACTTATAGATACAGGCTGAACAGCGAACTGACATGTAACATGATGCAGATATTCATGTATTCATGCAGATATTCAAGTTAACATGTAACATGATGCTTTAAGATATTCAAAGTGAATCTAAATACGGTCAACAGTTGTTTTGATTCAACTAAGGGGGGAAAAGGACAGCAAGGTAATAAATACGTCAAAATAGGGGATAAATATGAGAAGGCATCTTTTCTAATTGTGGGAAGAAAACTGAGAGTCACCATTCATCTCCTCTCAGGCATGGAGGTAACTTAACAGCAAAACATTCCATTATTCCTTGCATTACATTCAGTATTCTAATACACTATTCTGAAAAAGAAATACACTAAACTACAGAAGATGT